GCTTCTGGTGGTTTGTAGAGCAAGCCCAAAATGGAGGTATGTATCTGTTCTGCCTGAATAAAGAAATGTGCAAACCATGACTGATACGGAATCTTCTGATAACCTGCTAGCTCAGGAACTGTTACTGTTACTGTTTTGTTTTTTTTTTAACAAATAAATGAGTAACAAATTGAAAGCATGTTTTCACCAGACCTCTGTCTGGGGTCAGTCTATTGACTGGATCCGTAGTTTTCATGTTTTCATGTGTCTGTGTCATGCACATTCCCAGTGCAGAGTGTCAAACATTACAGAGGGCTGCTGGTTCAGATGGTAATGAAACATGTGAAAACCCCTGCTTAGCCAGCAAGTTGTGACCTGGGGACAACAAAGGCTCCAGAGAGAGCAGCAGACTGCGGCGGCTCGGAGCATGACAAATGCCTGAGCCACTGTCACTGCTGTGGCCCCTGTTGCCTCAGCTTTTCTAGCAGGCGCGGGGAGGCCGGAGAGGGGGGTGGTCTGTATTCAGACCCAAGGAGCGCAGCAGAAGGAGGGTTAATGGAATGGATGACTCTGCCACATTCAAAGAGTGATGAGGCCAAGGGAGGAGTCGTCAGCATTTCACATGAATTAGGAGAATGTTGGAGAAGGAGCAGCTACTGTTAACTCTGTTAATGCCTAACACACTCAGGTCAATGCTGATTTCAGATCAAACTATCTAATATTGTACATATTTTTGCTGCCCATAATCTGCCTATTGGTGGTCTTTGACAGGACCCTGAACAAACTTTTTTCCCCCATAAGTATTCCACACAGTTCACTTTCAGCATTTGCAAACCTGAAAGTATATGTGCTGGTTTGCTTCGTGAACTATTTCCTTCAGTTTGTCACATAAAAGAGTATACTGTGTTGTCAAATTGTCCCCTTTTGATATTGCAGTAATGTCAATCTGATTTGCATATGCACAGGGCTTTCTGCTCAAATAGATATACTGTATAAAAAGCGCTATGTGCCAGGGTAAACAAACTGACCAACTGCACATTCACACTAACCATTTACAATAATATTATTTCCTTACATAAAGAATTTGACCTCAGATATAGATGGTGATTTGAATTCACACCAAAAATGTATCCTTTTCAGTGCTCAAAAACATGTGGCTGCATCTTGCTCTGATTAAGACTTCTCAAAACCTCCAGGACCTAAAATCCACAGAAAAACACAGAATTTCTTTCATGGCTAAAACAAACAAACATGAACAAAATCAAGACCACATGTCTGATATTTTCTGCTAAATTACACAAACACAGAGCTCCATTTTGTGGTCAGCAATATCCAACTGTACCAATATCTAAAAAAAGGTAGTGTCCTGAAGGATGGGCCTGAACTGTCACACTGGTCATAATTGGACGTGAGCCAGCGTTCTTTACCCAAGTATCAGAGGGGCATGTAGGTCAAGGCCTCCATCACAAAACAGATTGTCATGGCACCGCTTCTCTCTTAGGCTCCGTCATCACGACAAATAAGAGCCCCACTGGAGACCACAAAGCCAGGGAACAGCTGCGAGAACTCCATTTCAATGTCAGACTTGTATCCTCCGGCATTTGGCTTGTCTCAGGCTGCAGCCATTAAGGCAAAAACAAACAGAGTATAAGAGGGAAGCGTCTGAACGTCACTTGGATAATCATATGCCAAAAGTGAGCCTGTATCTCTCCGCACTGCACAACTGTTGCTTAATAACATTACGCATATCCTCAATGTCACCTCAATGACACGTCTGCTTGGAATGGATCGCGCAAACAGATTTACGCTGGCCAGATTACAAAAACTTGATGTCAGCTTTCTGCAACTATGATTTTCTGGAATTGACTCAAGAAAGAGTCCAGATTTTCTGTCTTCCTCCTCTGTTAAGGATGTCCAAACATTTATGAAAGCCAGATCAGATGAAAACATGCATCATGTTGTTTTGAACTTAATATGGCAGACTAATTACTAATTACCCAAAATGGAGATTTCCAGCTTTGTAGAGAACAAATCAAATGTCTGCTTTTGGCCTGCAGAGTTAAGTATATCAAATTTAGCAAAAAACATAAAACAAAACATAGAAGTATTTTTATGAATATATTTGAGTGATGTGTTGTTTCTATGATTTTGGTGTGTTAATTTGACTAACCTTTCCATTAACTATCAAAACCAATAAAATCAAGTCTGCAACAAAAGAATCTGGCACTAAGAAGATTCACATGACTAAATATCTAATTAAAAACAGGAATTGTAGTTTGCAAATTGACTAACAAACACATATGCACACCATACAAACAAAGGTGGTCCAGAAATGGTATAAATAAAAGTCACAGTCACTACACCGACCCAAACCATCTGCGTCATGCTCCAAGAGAGAGGGGTGTCTCCAAGTTACAAAAGTGAAAAGCTCTAACCATTAGTCGACCATGTCATACCATTCTCTGTGTGATCCCATACAGGGGGAGGAGGGCTAACATGAAAAAGAGCCTGATAATATTTAACCAGTGAAAATCTATCACTAATCACCCCCCTCTGTCACGCCGGCCCTGCACTATTGTCATTCGCTGCCTTTCACTGCTCCTTCAATATTTCGCCTTCTTTGTTCCACATTACAAGCCCCCACTGATCTACATTAGTTTTCCCACAAGCGTTAATATGTTATGGTGTCAGTGCAAACAAAACCTGCACAGAGGTCTGAAGAAGTCTGGGTTTGCCACTTCTGAACTGTCTCCTGACCCTGTGGGCTTTTCTGCACTGTTTGAATCCAAAAGAGAAGTCATTTATCTGGTTCATCTTCAGAGCACCTCACAGCACCTTTTAAAAAACACTCTTTATTTGCAGCTAAGGCTAAAGCTGAGCTCCCTGACAGCATGATGGAGCGCTTGCGATCTCTCCTCCTTCTCTTATTCTCTCTCCTTCTGCCTCTCGAGCTTTCACTGTTTTACCACTGCAGCTCCAAAAGTAAAAAGTGTTTTTTTTTTTTTTTTTATTATATCGGAGACATTTTAATACATTTTTAACTGTCGGAAATGTCAGAAATGAAAAAAGATATATATACATGGATTCTGGTACATCAGTTCCTAAAATGTATACTCTATAGTCATTTACTTAAATAATTCTCCTATCAAACTCAACTTTCTAAAAAAAACACTATTACATCAGGGGGTATGTAAAATCTATTTCTTTAGAGCTTTATACCATATTATAACATTGTCCCCTCCTCAAAAATAGGTCTGAAGATGGTTTATAAGTCATCCATGCATGTTTGAGTAATGTAGTGATCTCTCCCAGGCCCAATTTGGACCTTCCTTATAGCTAGCCGTGCAATTCTGTTCAGCTCACACAACAATTTTTCATAAATATACAAAAGCAGTAGGCAAAACAATACACATCTATGCTTCTACACAAACCTGATGTGATGTGCAATAGTTTCATTACTGGAATACATGCTGATTGTGTTGTGATAATGCTCTGAAGGGGGAGCAAAAGGAAACAGTTGAAAACAAAAATTAAACTTCTAAACATCTGGCAAATATAGCATTTTCAAAACAATCAAAGGTATATAGTACATGGTGATCTAAATATGTTATGTGTTAGCAATCAATATTACATTTAGCCAAGCTGTACAATTAATCACAATAAAATCAACATCTTTAGGCAACAATCATCCTGTGCTGTATGTGTGTAAAACCTGCTATTGCTCTAGTTTGACCTCCATTAACATGTATTGAAAAGAATTCATTTTTCAGTTCAGATTTCAATCTTCCCTCAAAAACGCACCGGGGAACAATTTAAAATGCCCATTGTAAACTGAATTGTATTGTGTTGACATGAAAAAAATGATGACGTCAACTTATTTTTTGGAGTTAAAAAGTTTGTGGCTTAGGATTTCTTCTTGCTTACAGTGCACTATTTGGAGTTAGAAAGTTATGCGGTTTTATTTCAAACACTAACCCAGCGAGGCCCAAACAACCTTGTGGCTACAAGCTGGATACAGCAAATAGAGCAACAATGCATTCCTTATTTAGCAGCTGTCAAAGTCTACTACAAAAACAATACTGTCGCTCATATACTATACTATATTTTGTTTTGGAAAATTCTCACGCTACCTGTTTTCAATGCAATCTCTGAAGGGAAAACCACTGAACAGCTCATGTGTATAGGGTGACAACAGCAGTACCAGTGTGTCTCCAAGTGTCAGACCTGATTACCAGTTCACCTCATCATTCTCAGTGATCCGTCGATTGCCCGCTCCCCTTTTTATACCGGCCTATAAAAGTCTAATTTTGCCGTTCAACTGTCAAACCGCCTCTGCTTTTGAAACGCACTGATCGATGGCCATATTCTGTCTCCCATTTTCCACTCAACACTGTGAAAAGCTATGTTCCATACAAGTGTAAAAACCTCTTCAAACCGTAGTGGATGAGCGCATGTTGATGTATATTTCCATACAACCACAGGTGAGTGCCAGACAGTCTAGACTCTATTGGAGCTCACATGTGAATCTTCTTTCTTTGTGCTTCAATGCAACACACAGGCCTTGCACATATACTTGGCCTCAAGCCCGCTTCTGTTTCATTTTTGCCCTTATTTTTTGCTCCAACTGTAGACGGATCATTCGTCACCTTCCTCTTTCCCCTCCGTCCAGCTGCTGTGAAAGATAAAGTCAAAATCTGAACCATTGTAAGTCCAAGTGAAAATAAATATTGTCAAATAAAATAAAGTAAAGGGAAATGGCTGCATAAAATAGGCCATGTTATTGCAAGGTCGCTAAAGAGGTAATATTGTACCAGCTGTGTCCTTTGATGAAGTATAAATGTAATGGATGAGGCCGCCGTCCCAGATTTGGAGATTTGATGTAGTATGTGTATCAGATTCAGCCAAACATGGGCGGCTTTTAGACCAATGAGTCGATGTGCCTTAAAGGACGGGCAGGTGAATCTGACGCTGTGTTTGCGTAACAAGTGTGTTAAGTGACAGATGCCATATGGACACGGGAAGAACTTTAATGCCGGGTGTCATCGTTATATTGAAAGATTACAGGAGATGGTATACTTAAGTTTATTGTCTTTGGAAGATCAAGTGACATCAACCTGTCCAGGGACTGCAGGCGGAGACCAGCATTTCTGCTAAAACCTGGCACATAAAATCAAAATTCTAAAATTATCTTCTGCACACATCCTTCAGTGTCATTGGACAAGTGTGGTTTAGAACAGGGGTTCTGAAACGTTTCAGGCCTGGACCTTATTTGAGTGGCTTATGGTCATATTTAGCCTAATTCCACTAAAATATTCATGTTTCAATTACAAATAGCCTTGATTAAATACAGTGTCATAATAAAATATGTATATATCTATCAAGTCATCTCACAATCTTGTGATTCCACAGAGGCTCCAGACCCTGACTTCAAGAATAGTCTAAAACAGTTGGATTAGTCTCTTGTCAAAGTTTTAATGACATTTGGTGTACAACTGTTATTTCTTAAACAGACTTCCATCTGTTGCAATAATACGCAATGCAATTACCAGAAGTGAAACATGTTTTGTATTACAAGTTTAGCACAAATGTACATAATTCTTTAAATTGTACAATATGGAAATCAACATCAGACCATTGTTTTTTTTGTATGATTTTGTAACACGGAACCAGCTGTAAATACTACAGGTGTACAACATACATTGTCTGTAAGTACTACTTTTATATAGTATTACAAAACAGGTTTCTCAAGAATGAAGCAACTTCGCCCATGGCAACTTGGGGAGATATACAGTGAGTGACACATGCTGTAAAAGTGTTATGATTTCAACATTTCTGTCAAACTTCCCTATGTTGCCAAACGTCTGTCATCGGGGTTGTCTAACATGTTCTGACGCAACCCTTCGTTTGGTGACCTTGGGCAGTGGCGATGTAAAATACACTTTATCTGAATCCCATCAACACGTGGATAGGACTCAATAATGTGTCCATACCTGAGCTGGATGATGGAGTGTGTAATGGCCAGTGTTCTGACAGAGGAGGCTGTAGAACAAGTGCAGAGAGTGTGTGAATAATTCATGAAGGGGACACGGCGACAGTTAACAGGAGTGTGTCATAGGACATCCATCTATCCATCCAGCCATTTATCCTTTTACTGATGTGGCCTCATCCGCTCCCTCTGTTCCTGCGCAGCCCTGATAAAGGATAATGGATCTATTGACATTCACATGCCCCAAAAATTCACATTAAACATGGCGATTAAAGGGGCGCCGCGTGCCATTCACCGCACAGGCACGCACACAGCCCATCATCAAGACTATCTATAATAATAATACAATTCAAACTTCGATGGGAATCTTTCAGCATTTTACAGATTTTATTAGATGTGACTTTGAAGATTTGGTGTCCCCAATTCATCTGCAAGAGACAGACAGCCTTTAAACTATGAACAATACAGCTTTTCAAAATATTGCAATTAGTTCAGCACAAAACTTTTCCTTTTTAAAAAAAAATAATGTATTGGGAAATATGGTAATAAAAATTGTGGTCACTATAATAATTTGTTCTTATCACACTACACTTTTTTTTTTTTTTTTTTTCCTTCACCAACTTTTACTCATGCCAACTTCTGTAAGGCTCTAAGTGAGTGACAGATGAATGTAACCAATCACAGTCAAATGAAGACTATTTAATTTCCCTGACATTATTTACATCTTAAAAGGTAACCCATGGGTTTCTGGATGATGAAAATTTCGAACAGTTGCCATGGCGATCAGCAATTTAAAATAAAATATCCTATCTTCTGAATAGTGAACCGTTTTCAAATTGTTGCCTATATCAGGAAGCTGAAACCCACAAATAGATAAATACAAAGTGTACATGAATCGTCATAAAATCAAAATCTGTCTCAAAGAAAACACACCCCAGTCACAAACATAAAAACAATGTGCGAGTAAAATTGATAGAAAGTAAAAGCTCTCGCTCCCATAGACAATTTTACAGGCCTCCAAGCTATTTTTCAAGCCGTTCAACATTTGGAGTGAAGTCTGTCTCATTCACTCTAGTAATTTAGCCTTTAATGATGACGAATAACACACAACCCATTTCCAACCAAGCTTCCAACACCTGCTAGTTACGCTCAGAAACGTCAAGTCAGGCACAGGCCCATATGTTGGTAGTAGTATACGCTCCTGCCTGTGGTTATAAAGTAATAAACCAGTACGAAGAGTATTGGCAGTATTTCCCTGTACAAACTTACCAACAGACATCGCCCCAAGGTCCTCTGTGCACCTGCAGGGCTAAAGACGGTTAACTACAGTGCTCTAGTTAGATGGATAATCATAACTGCTGTCATAGAGTTGTCCACGGAATAGCAATGGCCGCTAATGCAGTGCTCGGAGCCATGCTGTCAAGATGCAAGGCGAAGACAAAGCTAATTACACTAAGTCAATGGACGTGCGCGATCGATATCTAGAATTAGAAGAGTATTACTTGGACGATAAATGAGCGCGCTAATAATAGAAATGGTTAGCTCGCACTCAAAAGGGGATGGAGTTTTATTGCCGCAGTGTGCAAGTGTTTAGCAAAAGGCTAGAATGCTATTGAACAAAAACAAAGGAGCAATCTTTGGAGCTAGCATAGGGTAACCAGATTAAAAAAAAAACTGGGACATCCCTAGTTTGAGTGGGTTAGTAATAATAAAATTGTGAAACAAGCGCGTAATTAAGGAAATTTGTGCACTTACAAAATGCACTCGGCATTAATGTGAGTCAGCATAGTCACATATTTAAGCAGCTTTTCTGTATTTTACCTAAACAAATGACAATTTATGCCTTTCTTTACTGTTGGCAGGGATCAGATTGGGCAAAAATAGGGACTCCTGGGACATTTCTTGTATAAAAGTGGGACAAATCACTGGTTTTGGAAAAAATCTGCTGGCACAGAGGACACAGGGCTCAAAACTGGGACTGTCCCAGGTAAATAGGGACGTCTGGTCACCCTAGCATGTTTTTTTTTTTTTTAGGGTTTTGTTGTGTGCGTTAGGGTGCTTTCACACAGACAGCAGTTGGTGCGCACCAAACGTTCCATTCGAACCAAAAGAGCTTAGTTCAGTTTGTTTTCGTTAGTGTGAAAGCATCAGTTGCTCTTGGATCTGCACTAAATCAATTGGACCAAGACCTCAAAAAGGAGGTGGTCTCGGTCCGCTTGACTTGCACCAGGGGGACTACACCAAAGTTTTGGCATTTGGTGCGATCCCTCTGGTGTGAATGCAAACTCAGGTCCAAACCATAGATGACAGGTGCAAGTGAACTATTGGAAATGCATCATAGGGACTGGTCAGTGGAGTCCGTACCCTGCAGAGGGGCAGTGTGGGAAAGCCACTGGGTGAGACAGTACATCTCGGGCTCGCTTCCGAGCTATGTGCAGTCAAACCCACTGTGTGCAGGAGCCTTGGATATAAATAAAATGGACCAATTTTGGTTCATTTAGCAGTTTGATAGGCACACACTGGAGTCTATATGCTACATAATAACTATTTTATTGCCTGGTGCGGACCAAATAATCAAACTAGAGGTGTGAAAGCGCCCTTCGATGGGACAGCTATTGAATGCTATATTGGACAAAAATCAAAGAAGCAATTTTTGAAGTTAGTTTTTTTTAGCTAACTTTTGGGGGTTTTGTTGTGCATGTGTTGTATGGGACATCCTATCCACAGCCCACAGCAAAGTTGCATTTTTAGCGGTTTTTAGCTAACCCTTTGGGGATTTCATGTATTGTAGCTGGGGTTTTTTTGTTAACTTTTTCAGGATTTGATGTATAGAGTATGGGACATCCTAGCCACAGCTACATGCAGGTGCCCGATTGTTCCAGCAAAACACAATGGGGTGCCCTGCTATGTGCCAAAAGCGCAGTCGTCTGGCAAAACAGCTGAGTGGTACACAGCAGCTTCTAGTGTTGTTCTAATGCAAGCCCGTCCAATATGTGGGAACAATGACAGTAATATGAAGGTCTTTCAGCAAATAAACAAAGTAAAAGACTCTTTGGAAATCCAGTATTTATCCAATAAACCTATCTGAGTACCCATTAGACCTTTATTTACAGAGAAGGAACATTCTCTGTTGGTTACATGGTTACAAAATAGCAGAAAAAAGCATGCAAGGACTTCAAAATAGAGCATAATGGCAGGCTATTGAAGGATGCGCATCTCCACCAAACACATTTTTATTTAATTTAGCCTCACTAAAAAGTCAATTGTTATCAGGGAGCGGTGTTATCTGGTTATACAATGGGCTCCAGGCTTCATTCATACAGTGGAAGACAATGGTTCTTCTGTTCTGCTAGTAGGATATAACAGTCACATTACTCAGTGTTCAAATGGCAAACTTGGATCAATATCTTCAAAGTCCACTTCATTACATCCTCATGTGTTGTTATAATACTGCAATAGCATTGTGTTGCATAGTACTATCTTTTCAGTAGAGGTTTGGCGGTTGCATACTTTATCACTCGGCGGGTAGCTTAAGAGAGGAGCCAGCTGCCCCTCGTGTGCCCCTCTGGGTGGCTGCACTGACTGAGCACATCACAAAAGAAGCTCCAAGATGGTGTGTGTCGACGCATAACAATCAAAGGGAGATCCACAAGCAGGCCACACAGAGTAATGTCAGCTATGCCCAGCTCTACTTGAAAACATGTAAAAAATACTGCAGTTTGTATTTGATAGAGGAAGTGTCTGGGGTGAGGAAGTCTGGGAGTCCCTGCTTAGACTGCTGCCCCTGCGACCCAGCCCCGGATAAGCGGAAGAAATGGATGGATATTTTAAGTTTTTAATAGGATCTGTTAATTGTAAGCACGTCTTAAATATTTTGTGTTTTTCCATTTGATTATGACTGGATGAGGTGATTAGTTAATACAGTTCATAAATGGATGCTAAAATGCATTCGTGACTAAATAGGTCTATTCACAAGTACACCACAAGTACAAATACATGAAACACCAGTGATTCTCAAACTCTCACACCAAGTACCACCTAAGTACTATAAAATTTAGCATTCCAAGGAGGATAAACACGTGGATGCTATGTAAAAGTTAACACGTGAACTTAAAAGGTCCTGTATTACACAAATTGACTTTTGTGAGCTTTAAGCCATGTGACAATGTTG